TGCCACATTGCGCTCAACTGATGCGCAGATCCATGTATGTGGCGCATGCAGCAGAAACATAACAGAAATATCCCCCGACCTCACATTCACAACTTTGCCAAACAGTCCGCTGTGTGCCAGTAAGCAGAAGCGCATGTGTTTTGTGAACTCAAATCTGTGCAGCCAGTAACATTGCAGCTCTGCCTACCTTTTGGCTTTTTTACGTGATTTGACTTGGACTTCTGTGTAGCCCGCTTCAAAACTGCACACGGCAGTGGTATGCACGCTTATAAAAAGTCCCTTTTACATCCTCTGTCTCCTTTGGAGTACTGCCGCGTTGCTGCTAGAAGAGCGCATGGCTGAAAAGCGCCCCTTGTGCCCTAACTCGTCCATGTTGTGGTGTTTCTTGGTCCGCCAGGCCTCAGCAGCGACAGCGGTTTAGGCAGCACCGACGGAAGCACCGACTTTCTGATGATGGGGCCAATGGTGGACAGCGTGACGGAAGAAGGTGCGTCCTCGACTGAAATCACAGCAACTTGAACATCGGACGCATGTGACTTGATTTGACTCATCAATAACTCCTGGATGTTTTTTTCCCTCAGAATGTGAGGCATCCGAAGCCTCGAGCGGCGAGGCCGATCATGACACGTCGGACCCGGAGGACAGCGGGCACCTCCACCCCGGGGCGCTCCTGTACAGAGCAGCCAGAGCTCGCAACATCACCGTCATGGCCGAAGCGCTGGCGCACGGCGCCGACGTCAACATGGTTAATCAGGAGGACCAAGAGAAGACGCCCCTCATCCAGGCTGTGATTGGGGTGCGTACTCACTGCAACTCCGAGCGCTTGTGCGTTCGTCACCAGCTGGATGTTGAACCAAAAAATGACAAAAACAAGATGTAAACGTTTCCCACAAGGAACGGGCGGAAATTGGGAGTACCAAAGAAAAGGTTTTCAAAAAACATTTCGAATGAATCATTTCTAAAGTCAATCTCAATTATGGGGGAAGTTATTCTATTTGTGTTTAAACTATGATTTGTATTGAAGTCTAAATGGTTTGTTTACAAATTGTGGTATACATTTGAATTTGGGATTAAATGATGGAAAATCTTTGATGATTCCCTCCCCCCATCATTGGAATGTTGTTTTGTTTTTGTTTATTAAAAATCCAAACCATTGGGCAGAATAATTCTTTTTGTTTTAAATCTGTAAATTCAATCAATTGTTATTATTTTTTTTTTCATTTCAAAAACTTTTTTCCTGAAATCATGGAGAAAAAAAGAAAATAATTTCTATATTATCTCCAGGGGTGTTCTGCTCAGGGTTTAATGCCGCCGATACCGATTGGCGGTGGGTTGCTGTATTTAGTCTCGTTTCTGTAAATCTTTGTAAAGGTCTGTCAACCATTGTTTGAAGGGTTCCTTGCTGGCCTGCGAGTTCCTGCTCCAAAACGCCGCTGATGTCAATCAAAGAGATGCGAGAGGGCGGGGCCCCCTGCATCACGCCACCTATCTGGGCCACACAGGGTGAGTCCAAATTCAGTGCTAGCCTGCTAGCGAGGCGGAATGCCTCGCTGGCGGAACGCCATCACTTCTACTTGGCTCTTTGCCTGTGGAAAACCAAACACATTCTTCCTAAGAACTTGTGAAGCACCAGCTAAGCGCAGCGCTGGCGCTGAATGAGCACCAAGTTTTTTGGGGGGTGTGGAAAAGGGGTATCCTTCACCTCAGCTTGCCTGTGTGCTTTCAGGCAGGTGTGTTTATTCCTAAAACGAGGCGCCGCCCAGAACGACGGCGATGAGGATGGCCACGACCCGTTGAGCATTGCGGTGCAGCAAGCCAATGCTGACATCGTCACAACGT